ATATATATAATATATATATATATATATATGTTTATTGATTACCTGTCTTTGCTGCACCTAATACATCTTTTCCTTCAAGGAGACGAGGGATTGCCTTTGCTTGTATTTCTGTTAATCTCTCCATCTTCATCTCCTTAAGAGCATTCTTTACGGGCTCGCATATGTCCAAACTTTCGAATAAAACATCAGAAAAGAAGCCGCCAGAGGGACCTGCAGCACAATGCATTCATGCATGCGGGCATGTTTTTTTGTATGCATTCGCTGCTGCTGTTGCTGCACATCGCCTTTTATGCAGGCAGCAGGAAAAAAGAAACGGAAACAGAAAAAGCAATATTCGTGAAATGAAAGGCTTACCTGGAGCTGCTTGACTCTCCGATCCATCTGTTTCGGCTGCTGTGGAGGCCTCCTCCTCCTTGGTGGTTACATCCATGGGGGCCCCATCATCATCCGTATGAACTTCCTCGGATTCATTATGTGTTGCATCGATGCTGCTAGTTGGTAGATCTTCTTCTTCTTCTGTATGCGGAGGTACGCTCTGTGCAGAAGCGATCTTCTTCACTTTTGTTGCCTTCTCGGCAACATTACGACGTTTCTTTACTTTTTTCTCCTTCTCCCCCTTCATCGTGTACTCACAAACAGATATACGGCAAGAAACTCTTTGTCAGGGGTAATACAACGAAGATCGTGGGGAGAATGGTCATACGACCTTGAAAATGAAGATTCGGCTGACGGACCTTCTGTACGTGAAACGGCAGAAGGCAAGAAGAAATTACCCTTTAGGACAAGAGGTGATCTTAATTATCTTCTATTATGGGAAAAACAAATAAAATATACGGCGGAAACAGTCGTAGGACCCTCAGAAATAGACAAGGCGTGCGCCGACTCGGAAGATTCCGAAATTGAATTGCTGCGGTGTATCGACAGCGGCAGGGTGCGCAGCTCTTACCGCCAGATTCGGATCCAACTCCTAAGAATCCGGTCGTACAACAAAAGGAGCAAAAAGAATTGTCTGAATACAAATATTCTTCGCTAATAGAAACAATTTCTTCACTGCCCCACAGAGGACCCAGAAAAGGGTCCTATATGGGGCCCCCTGGCACCCGGGGCCCCTGGTTTCGTGTAACGGAAAGCAGGGCGCTGGCTCTCCTTCTTACGTGTTGAATGTATTAATCAATCCGAAGCAACAAAAACGAAAGAATAAAGCTGATTAAAATTATTTAAATAATAACTATTTATTATTTTCCTCTTCTTTTGAGCATCCTGTGGGACGTCATGGCGCAGCATCATCATCATCGCATGCAGCGGCGGAAATGGGGCTGAGTTGCTCGAGGCATGGCGAGAAGGCATGGGAGAGGATTTGTTTCTTTTCTACATTTTTTTCTGTATTGGGACACAAGTAGTGTCTTTAAAGCTCCGAATTGTTCATCGGCCCTCCCATTTTCCCTTCGTAGCCGTCGGGCACAGCTGTGACTCGCGGGGCTGCTGGCTCGACAGCTAAGGTTTCTCTTTTTTCTTTTTTTCCCCTTGACGTTGCTTTACACTGCAAGATAAGGGGAAGAAATTCATCTTTTTGTTGCAGTAGTTACTTCTCTATCATCAAATCCTCACAAAGACGGCTGCAGCAGGGGAGGAGGCAGGGGGCCCCCTGACGACTCCAACATGACACCCACAACGGGCCCCCCAGCAGGTGCTCCTGCTTCCTCCAGCGAAACAGCAGCAGCTACTGAAGCAACACAAGTACAGCAGCAGCAGCAGCAAACTGGGAATCCTGCACAGCAGCCAAACCCACCAGGCACACCGGTGCAGCAGCACTCTGACCCAGGGGGAGGCCAAACGCCAGCTGCTGCTCCTGCTGCTGCGGCTCCTGTTGCCCCTGCAGCAGCAGCAGGAGCATCATCAGAAGCTGCAACAGCAACAACAGCAGCACCCTTGACAGCAGGAGCAGCAGGCGTCGCAGCAGGAGCAGCACCAGCAGATGGTGCCGCCGTGACACCTGCAGCAGGAGTATCAGGACCAGAAGGAGTCCCAGCAACAGGAACAGGAACAGGAACAGCAACAACAACCGCAACACCAGCAGCAGAAACATCACCTGCATCTGCATCTGCTGCTGCACCAACAACACCAGGTGTACCTGCAGCATCAGCAGGAGAAACTCCAGCAGCAGCAGTTGCTGTACCATCAGAAACAGCAACAACACCAGCAGCAGCAACACCAGCAGCAACAGCAGCAACAGCCACACCAGCAACACCAGCACCTGCAACACCAGCAGCAGCAGCAGCAGCAGCAGCAGGAGTTGCTGCTGCTGTTGCAGAGGCGAGTATGGTGTCAGTGAATATTCCTCCATTAAATAGCAACGTGCATGCATTTAATTGTATATGTGGTGAATTATATTTAACAGAAGAAGAATATAAAAGAATAGAAGAAGTATTGAATAAAATAGGGAATAATAATTCATCAGGTTGTGGTGTATGGAGACTGGTGGAGGTACACCCGGAGGGAGGAGGTGCAGCAGGAGGTGGCGGCAGCAGCAGCAGCAAAAAATCAAAGAAAGGAGGATCTAAGAGAGGTTCAGGTGTATCTACAGTATCAATGGCAGCAAGTGATAGACAACAGAGACGTCAATCCTTAGCTAATTATTCATCGCTCCCCCCTAATGCAGCAGCAGGAGCAGCAGCAGCAGCAGCAGCACCAATGCCGGATCTGCCAAAGACTCGATCATCCCGTCGTCTCGGTACAGCATCCTCCTCTTCCCCTTCTTCCTCTTCTTCTTCCTCTTCCTCTTCCTCTTCCTCTTCGTCCTCTTCCTCATCAATAGCAGGAGCAGGAGGAACAGGAGGAGGAGTAGGTGTTATAGGTATAGGAGGAGGTGTTACAACCCCACCATTAGATGGTGATGATTGGCAAGAACGCATGCAGCGTATATTATTAGAATTATGTCGTCAACCTGTATGTTTACCATTTTTACCTCGTGTATCCCCGTCTGATGGTCATTATAACGAATTAGCAAGAAAAGTATATCCAGCTATTCCTTTAAGCTTAGAGACTGTATTAGATAGACTAGAAAAAGGAGGTTATTATAATAATTCTATTGATGTATTTAATGATATTTATACTGTATTCTTATGTGCATTTCGTTACTATGAACCTGGACATCAATACTGGATGATGGCTCATGAGGCTGCATTAGCATTTACTCAATTAACTCTTGGAGAACCTCTTCTTAATAATAATAATAATAATAATAATAATAATAATAATAATAATAATAATAATAATAATAGCAGCAGCAGCAGCAGCAGCAGTATTCAGGATACTGCTGGTGGTGGTGGTGGTGGGGGTGGGAGAGGAGGAGGAGCAGGAGGAGGAGGAGGGGCAGGAAATGATGAAAAATGGGAACTTGCTTCTGCTAAAAGTACTAATAGAAATTATAATAAAAATAAAAATAAAAATAAAAATACTGAAGGTATGATGTATACACCCGAAACCCTAAACCCTAAACCCTAAACCCTAAACAGAATCTATTATTAGATTCTTATTAAACATTTATTAATTATATGAATCTTTTCTTTCTTGTTACATAGTGCAGAGGAAATATAAATGTTGTTTGTTTCTCTTATTTTTTGCTGTTGCTGTTGTTGCTGCTGCTGCTGCTGCTGCAGCAAGCCGTCAGCGTTCTCGTGGAGGAGCAAAGGGATATGCGCCTATGGAGGCAGCAGCAGATACTCCCGTCACGGTAGAGGAAAGACAAACCTTCCAAGAACTACTTGCACAATTAAGTATGGATGCACACTTTCAGGTATGTTTACTGCTAATGCATGCATACATGCATGCACGCAGCCCCAAACATGCATGCACGCATGCATGCACATGGGAGGCATCCATGCAGTGCACACGGGAAGGGAAAGGGTTTTCTAATCATGAATATCTTTATATATATATTTTAGGGTTTAGGGTTTAGGGTTTAGGGTTTAGGGTTTAGGGTTTAGGGTTTGTGTTCAGTTATATAACACATTTAAGGATCGGGCTACTTGGGTTTCTTTTGATACGGGAGAAGTTGAACTTGATGATGGAGCCACTATGCCCTACGTATTCAGGTTTGCTGCTGCTGCTGTTGCTGCTGCTGCTGCTGTTGCTGTTGTTGCTGCTAACTGTCCTCGCTGCGCTGCTAATGCTGCTGCAGCAGCAGCGTTTGTTGTTCTCCGCTGCTGATGCTGTGGCGCCACCAGATGTTGTAGCTCCTGCTGCTGCAGCTTCTGCTGCTGTTCTGGCGGTGCCTGCTATTCGTGCTGCAGCTGCAGCTGCTGCTTTATTGGTGTATTGCTGCTGTATTTTTAGGGAAATGGTCCAATGGTGCAGAGCACAGGTCCTTCAGCTGCAGCAACAAGGCGGCAGCAATGCGCATGCAGGAGCTGCTGCTGCTGGGACTCCACAAATGCAGCAGCAGCCTGCAGCAGCAGCAGCAGATGCATCGGTAAGCTGTAGCTGCTGCTGCTACTATTGCATTATATATTGTATTCTAATTATATATACCAATAAATAATAAATAATAAATAAATAATTAATAAAAAAAGAAAAAAAATTTTTTTTTTTTTTTTTTTTTTTTTTTTT